CCCCATACCACCCACAAGCCATCCCACCCCGCTTCCCCAATTCAAGTTGCAGTATCAACATGAAGCAACTGGGTACAACACAGCAAGAATATTCACAATTTGGTACAGCCAAAACAGAGGATCACCAAGAGATCCTCAATTTAGAAATTATTTACCTATAGACTATGTATCTATAGATATATTACACCCAGTTATCTAAGATTTCCCTGGTTTTAGTGGAAGTTCCATTGAGTCTTAGCCAGCAGTTACAGCTCTGCTTTGTCTAATGGCATATTTTTCTCCTCCTCCAAGTTTTAGGTTTTCTACGGCTTTTGTGTGTCTTCAAATTTAAGGCTTTTCCTAGCACCTTTATTATCACTTACTAGACATACAGGAGGGTCTCTAGTGTATCCAGAACAAAAAAATTTTAGTGTATAATCCAGTTGCCCCTTACTCACTAGTCCCACTCCTTCTTCCCATCTTTGAGAAGAGTGGGAAATGGTACCTCTTAGCACCATGAAATTAAAAGCCCAGAAAACTGAGAGCTATACATGCATTTTAGGGAGCACATGCCAGAAACACTAAAATAGAAGCACTGTTTCTGTCCATTATCTTCTTGGATTCAATAACAAAGTTATGCTACAGATTGAATTTCGAGCCATCCTGCATTAAGAATGCAAATCTCTCACTAAGACAACCACTTTGTCCAGCATAAGTTGAGTATACAAACATCCCAGAGAATCTCTAAATACCGTTAGGAACTGCTTGAGAAACACCCTTAAGCAAATACCCCCAAATTGACTTCACTCCTTAAGTACCCAGCCCACCCCCTACCCCTCGCCCCACCCACCCATTTAATTCCTTGATTTAACCTCTCTGAGTAAGATGGGAAGTGAGGTTTGAAAAACGACATGAAAAATGTTTAAAAAATACATTTAGTGAAGACATGCCAGAATTGGACATCCCAGATGTTTAAAACACACTGTTCAAACTGAACACACACAAAGCATGCACAGAGCCTACACGCACTCGAGTTTCCAGGAACAATCAATACCTACTTGAAAACAGACTTTTGTTTCTTAAAGGGTTAAAAAAAAAAGAAAAAAAAAAGACACCAGATATTTAGAAATTGTTATCAAAAGGAAAAATGTCCTAAGAGAAAGATTCTAAAAGGAGTAAATAAAATTTTGTCTAACAGATTCATGCCAGAACTTGGATGGAAGCCCTTCAAAGTCATGTTAGCATAAACTGGTACCCATCTCTCTAGATCTATGACTAGATTTACTGCTTCCCAGCAGGTATTTTAAATTACCTTTCTAACCTGAAGAGAGAAACATAGGAAAGTAACAAGGTTCAAGTCCCAAAATGGGTAAGATAAGCTTACTATTCATTAATTAAAAAGCTTACTATTCATTAACTAAAAAGTGGAGGTCACACACTACTTTCATTCTAATTAGCAGATAAAATGAGATTTTCTGGTGGCAATGGTCATTCCATGTAAGGTTTAACTTACAGGGCAATAAATTATCAAAGTTATTCAGAGCATATGATTAATGTAAAAAACCTATTTATATTATGAATCACACCATTTAATTTATTGACATTTTTCAACACAGAAGCTTTGAGAAAGCATACTGCAGAACCATTTTGTTGAAAACAGCAACATATCCAACTGAGCATCAACATTTTGATGTCATTAACTTGAAATAGATCCTGGTGACAATGTACTCTAAAACCAGTGACTTTGATAGGAAAGAAAAGCAGAATGGCAGGGAATGGCTCCAGATCAAGAATCTCTCCCTTATCAGTTAAAATGCCCATATTGAAGCCATGAAAAAAACAAGTAAAAGAGATTTTAAGGAAGAGAGAATTCAATTCCAGGTCAGAATTTATCTAATAATTTGAAATGTTTCCCATTTTATTTACCACACCTAATAAAATAAATGATTCATGGTAGGCTCATTTAGAATAAGTTATTTTAATGGAGATAAAAGTTTTATGTTCAATCTAGCTTAGCTTGACTTATTCTTATTTGAAAACCCAAATGACCTTATAAGGAATATAAATCTTAGGGCATTGATCTTTATAGAGGAAATACCATTAAGCAACAAATCTTGCTATCTGTTGTAACAAAATTAAGTACAAGGCAACTTCCCATATTAACAGATTAATATGTGACTGTGCTTAGACAAAATAATATCATTAGTATTTGTATCTCTAACTCTATAAGTAAATGTGGTTATTTTTTTTAAATACAGAAATGCTAAATTGTTTTATTAATGTAGTTCGCATTGCATTACCCAACTCTACTTTCAGATCATGTGTCAGAGAAAGGTCTGTACCAAAAAATGATGAGAATGACTGAGGTCCTATGCAATAATACAAGAGCATTCTGCAGGCCAAAAAGGGGAGAGGGATGTCATGGAGCTGGCCATTCTATATTTGGGATAAAAGCATTCTTAAGTAGATAGAAAATGAGCTATAAAAATGATGTTTGCCTCAAAATCTTCCTTTGTATATTTATAAAATAGTTAAGATGTTACCATTAAAAGAGAAGTGAATTTCTTAAACATAGCCAATTTTATTAAAATCATGACTAATTTTCAGAGAATGGATGTCGAAAAATTAGGAACAGAGAATGAAAAAGTATAAAAGGATTAAAAGAGTTTCTAATTAAGGGTTCCATATCATTATATCCAGTAACTTTAACCACAAGTTCACTTCAACAGGAAAACCACCAAGGTCATCATAATCTCTATGAAAAATACTCTTGATTCTAAGTGGCCTCTCTAGCAGGACTGACATACAGAAGAGTCAAAGATCAAAATAACCATCATTAAAATATCAAATTTCTCATAACAGGAGAAATCAACATATTGGCTTGATATTCTCTGCTGGTTACTTTCAGGACTAAAGAATATTCTTGCCACTATTCTAAAATGTGTACAGTGCAATCAAGTTTCATGACAATAACTGAAGTGCTAAGCAAGGAAAATCAGTGAAGTTGAATAGTCACAGTACACAGATGTCTTTAAGTAGCCTTTTCATCAAGGCACTTATTTTTTGAAAACCGCCATGTTCATTAAAGGGTTGATTCTTCCCACTCTCTTTTACTTTTTAACAAATTACTTACTCATTAATCTGCATCCTATATTTACTATTAAGTAGTTAAATGAAAGAGGGCAAGAAAGAGAGAATGACACAATGGAGATATACTGTGTGGGATAAGAAATATTTTTAAAAGTCAGCCTATCTGAATTTGAAAAAGTTGTTTCTGCCAAGTAAGTAAATTTTACAACTTACACAAATCGATTTCCTAACAATTGCTCAGTGGTAAAATTTAAGCACACAGGTAAAATAAAATTTAACTCTGGTGTCAGTGAAATATTTGGTTCTCATTAATTACATTTTAGTCAGACTCAACAATGTACAAGAATACTGCATTAAAGTTTTTTAAATTAATGAATTGTGTTTTAAAGGTCATTACTAGATCTATAACCATTATACACTCCTTTTTGGAGATTTCAGTCAAGAGAGGTTAGTTATTAGGCAAATGAAACCTGGACACAGAAAAAAAGCGAATGAACTGATTAGCAAGTATACTTTTAATTAACCTATGGATAATATATAATAAAGAGGAGAGACTAGAAGCATAAACTTTTGGAGTGGAAAGTTTCACTTCAGAGATAATCTAATTCAGTGTTCTACAATCTGTGGGTTCCTAAGAGTTTCTGCAAGAGTCTGCAATTCCATATGCACATTTACATTTTCTCCATCAATGAAATAAATGGTATTAATACTTAACTCCACAGTTCTGCACCTCTGCCAAATTTTAAAATCACAAGTTCTTTCACTTGAACAGACTGAGAGCTCTTGATCTAGTCCAATATGCTGTGAAGTAGTAGCAGAGCAATTACCCAAGTGCACTTATGCCTACATACAGTGCCCCTTCTGCATATCTAGTATTTTCTTAAGTGTTCAAGTGAGATCCCTCTTAGCTAAAATTTTAGTCCTGGGAATCAGTAATCTTTTCCTTTTAGTGAATTTGATATGCCTTACTGACAAACATCACGCCTAAGTAGTTACAAAAGTTGCAACTAAAGAATACAGGTGAGTCAAAAGAAAATTTGAGCTACAGTATTTGCCACTTTTCAGTTTTACATTTTTGTGAAGACTGTCCTAACTAAAGCGTATTCATTCCCCTTTCTAAGCGTCTATTGTAATTATAGTTCAGCCCCAGAAATGTGAGCATTTACAGTTCTCCAGTTATCTCATGTGTAGTGTGTCTCTCCAACTGGGTAAAACAGGCAGGAACTACATCTTAGATTTCAAGATGTTTCCAACTTTGATTAAGAACTCAATAAATTACTGGCTTACACAGTCAAGGAAGAAGAATTTTACAGAATATTTTAAAAGATATACATAAAAAGATTTAATAATCTGGTATAGGTGGGATGCAGAAAAGATAATTAGGTCTTTTCTGAAAAGTTTAAAAGAGATAAAATCCTTTTTTACCTTTCTGTTTATTCTTAGCAAATAATGCCACATAATTATTTTCCTTTCACATTTTTATCAGTCCCTCAAAATAATGGTGTAAATGGGAATTTATAGGCATAGCAGAAATCCCACCAGCTTTAAGGAAACATAACCAAATGACACTTTACAGAGCCAAACAAAAGGAAGATAACTTTCGGGGCTGATGCCCCTGTTGGAGGAGACAGCAACATGGGAGTGAAAGAGCATGGACTCTGGATACCAATTTTGATTTTGCCACTTACTGGTTGTGACATCCCCAACAAGTTCTCTGAACTTCAATTTTATTTCTTATACATAAAATGGGGGGAAATGTGCATTTTATGGCGTTCTTATAAAGATTAAGAGAAAATGTGTAGAAGGTACCTACTACATGCTAATTACTCAAAATTAGTTGCATGTCTTCCCTCATTTGGCTCTTCTTTCTCTTCTCTGGTTTCTTCCTAAATCAATTTCAAAAGAGGTTTCTTGTCACTCCCCCAACAACCCCCCCACTAGTTTTCATTTTATCTCCCTGTATTTGTCACATTTACTCTCAAAATCTACCTTGTTCTTTTTCTCTGTACCTTTTATCTCTTTCAAGCTGTTTCCAATACCTACAAGGAATTACTATTTTAAGCTAATTTTTAATTATTTTACTAACCTCATTTAATCTATTCAATAAAACTTCTCCAAAAAGCAAAGGAATTTATAGAGAAAATAAGACAAATTAGAGGAAGTGGATTAAGTTCTTGAGTAAAGCAACATTCCTTATTCACTCTTCCCATGTACAATCTATAATTCCTCCATCCCACTGGCCTTTATTTCAAGCCCAGGAAAATTACATTCCTGCCTCAAAATAAAATAAAATAAAATCCTTTAGATTGTATATTCTAAACACCAGCTGTCTCTAAGTTGAGTCAGTATCTCATGCCCCATCTCTTTAATATGCTTACTTAAATCCTTTATATATATATATACTTGGTCATTTCACAGTTGAAAAAGTCACTTTGGTTTCTCATGCATGGATATGCTAGGGCTGAGCTTATCAAAAAGAACTACATTCTATCATTAATGGACATGTTGTCTCAGGTTCCCTAGATATGTTTTATAAAGAGAAGCTAATAGGTAAAAGAATAAAATAAAGTCCTACAGGGAAAGCTCTTGACTTCACATTTTTGACAGATTTGGGCTTTAGCTGTGACTTGGCTGAGTGGAGACAGGTGCCATGGCACCCAAACTGGGCGTACCCTCACTTCTTACCCTGTACCTCCCTGAATTTTTAGATTCTTGACCTTGCCTACTACCAACAGTCTTTTTACCCTCTAATGCATCTTCGATGGTATACAGCTCTATTCCTTAGATAGTAAGTCTATTATCCAAATTCAGATACAATTAAGGAATTAACATGAAAACCATGATTCCTCAATAATTCAGAAGCTGCTAGTTAGCCTCAAGAGCCTATGAAAAAACATCAAAGTGGTATTACTCAGTCACCAATCTAAAGAGAGAACTTTGACTCAAGATATAAATGAAATTGTAATTATATAAATATATTTATAAATATTTATACAATTATATACTTATACATAAGCACTTACACACACTTAGAAAAAATGTAAGAACATTAATCCAAAAGGACTCACTGAAGAATAAACAGAATTTTCCATGATTATTTTTGAGGAGAAACATTACTTGTTCTTTAGGGTGGGTCCCTCAAAATTCAACCATTAGAAATCATATTCTCTAATTAAGTACTAGCAACACATAAGCATGTTTAAAATCCCCTAGTCACCAAGTGAATGATCTTAAAATAGATGGGAACTTAAAGGTCTCTGAGCAAGAGCAATTTATGTTCCTCAAGTAGAAGGATCAATCAATATAAATCCCCATTTTATATTATGGTTTTATAGCAAGTTAAAGTTCTCATTTTGCCACCAGAATCACCACTACCTCATCAGAAGACTAAAGCTCAAAATAAGAACTAAGCATATAATGAAGCTGGTAAGTTGAGTAGTGCTATGGAGATTCAAGATGGCTAATCTAAACAAAACTGAGAAAAGCTTTCACCAACTACAATTTGAATGTGGCTTTTGTAGGCAGAAAAACCTCCACGACATTTGAAGACTACTAGCACCTCCCTTACTAAATGTTGTCTTATGGATTTAATTTAAAGGTTTTTCCCTTAGACTTTCAATTTTGAGACCTTTAGCAAGAAAAAGCATGAGGATTTAAGCTCATTTAGTCACCAGAGCCTTTTAGAGACTGTTCAACCAGGGGTAATAAATGAATCACTAATTCCAACCAAAGGAACATAGTTAGCTACTCTCAGCTGCATCTTTTTCTTTTTCCCCCCAGGATATACATAAGTATGCCTAAAGCTCATAGGACAATCAATAACCATAGTGGTTAAACTACAAGCCACTGTACTGCATGATTATTGAATAGCTGCCTTCCTATAGATCACCTGTAGACCCAGACAATGGGAGGGCCAAAGGAATTAATATGCCATACTGGCAAAAACAGCAAGCACCTTCTTATCCCAGTCACCACAATATGCTCACTAAAGGTCCACTCTGAGACTAGCAGGATCAATATAGTTTACAGAGTAGTAACTAAGAAAGTTGTCTCAGGCTAGGTTATTGAATGCCAACCCATGCTACTCGCCCAACATTTAACACTCATTTTGCCAATAACACATTTCATGGAAATAATTCTAGCTTGGGAGGATGGGAATCCTTCAAAATGATTTTTAAATGAGATGAATAATAATTATAAGAGATACTTTTTCGATGTAAATAAAAGCCTAGATATTCTGTTGTGATATTTCTTACATGGACAACAAAACATGTTAGAGAATTTTTTTTCCCCTACTAAAAACAGGGCTTACAAAAAAGGGAGGTTGTTCTTATTCTGAATCTAGCCATTCCTTTACCAAAGGAGTCTGAGGAGTAGTAACATTATCATTTGATCCCGAAAAAGTGCCATGCCAAAAGACCACTTATTGGAACACACATTTCCTGCTGCCAGTACTAGGAGGTGTTATCCTTATACTTCCATTTGGTCACCTGATTAGGTAAGAAAGAAAGAAAAGTAGGAAAAAGATGAAAATAGGAGAGGAGGGGGAAAAAAAGAGGGTAGGAAGTGAAAAAGATTTATAGGAGAGAGCAAGGAATAAAAGAGAAGGCAGGTGACTCGCTTGCCCAACTTTGGCTCTATGGTCCTACGAACCAAAATGCACACTCAGTGACATGGTATCTCACAGGAAAAGGGAAAAAAGGGGTAAGCTGAGAGAGGTCAGGCCATGATGTTAATTTCTTTCCTGTACAAAGACAGTCTCTTGAGGACAAAGGCCTGCCTCTTGTAATGTTATGTCATAGTCCAGATGAGAGAGTTTTCTTCGAGGGAAGTTGGTGAGAAGTTCAAAACGTTCATTTGGATATCCTTTAGACTGGACATGCTTCACCAAAGCCTATGAAAAACAAAAGAAAGACAAGACTATTAGATGGAAATAGAAAAAGCATATTAAAGAATTAAATATATATTATAATAATTTTAAAAAATAATTTTTATATATGTTTTCATTGGTTTTAGAGAGACAGGGAGACAGAGATAGAAATATTGATGAGAGAGCCGGGACCGGTTTGGCTCAATGGATAGAGCATCGGCTTGGGGACTGAAGGGCCCCGGGTTCGGTTCCGGTCAAGGGCATGTGCCTTGGTTGTGGGCATATCCCCGGTAGGGGGTGTGCAAGAGGCGGCTGATCAGTGACTCTCTCTCATTGATGTTTCGAACTCTCTCTCTCCCTTCCACTCTGTACAAAAATCAATAAAATATATTTTAAAAAAAAGAAAGAAAAAAAGATGGCACCAAAAAAAAGAAATATTGATGAGAGAAACATCGGTTGGCTGCCTCCTACAGGTTCCCAACCTGGGATCAAACAAGCCCAAAACTTAGGCACCTGCCCTGACCAGGAATCAAACTGGCAACCTCTTCGTATTTGGGTCAACACTCAACCACTGAGCCAAACCAGCCAAGCAATATAACATTCTTTTTAAAAAATATGTTTTATTGATTTGAGAGAGAGGAAGAGGAGAGAAACAGAAACATCGATGAGAGGGAAACATCAACATTGATTGGCTACCTCCTGCATGTCCCCTGTTGGGGATTGAGCCTGCAACCCAGGCATGTGCTCTGACTGGAAATCCAACCCTGACCTCCTGGTTCATGAGTTGATGCTCAACCACTGAACCACATTGGCCAGGCTAACATTCAGTATTGTCACATTAGATAAAATATGAAGTTTAAGGGCCAATATAACACTTTGGATGGGGAGATAATAAATGTACATTAAGTGATGTACTGAACTATACAGGGTTATCACTATTTCCTCAATAACAAACTCACTATTTATAAAATTACTGTCCTTGGTTTTAAACATTTGATTATTTTCCCTTCCATTTTTTTTATCGGCAAAGATATGTCTTTCATTCTACCTACAGCCAATCTTGTCACCTATGTACTAAATCTCTTCTTGCCTTCTCAGAAACCATGCCTCTACCGAGCATCCCTGCTTTAATAGGTATTGTCTACATCTCCCTCTCTACAGATGCTTCCCATCATACTCTAAACATGCAGTCTCTCCTTCAATCATTCCCCTTACTGTGATTACTGCATACCTCTCTCTAGCTTCACAACCAAACTTCTCAAAAAAGTGCTCCATCTACTGTCTCATCTCACATTCCCTTCCAAATATGAGACCTGGGAAACAGTCTGGGTATCAGCACCAGCAGCCAGATCCGACTGGCATTCCAGTCACACAGTCTTCAAGATCACACACACTCTCTCGCCACAGAAAACAGACAGGTAAAAATACCTGACCCAAAGGGGATTCATTCACAGGTATCCGATAAAAAGATGGAAGGGACTAAAAAAGCTAATCAGATTCATTCTCTTTTCCAGGAGTTAAAAACGACAGAGGAAAGGTCCATCAGCTATGAACTTTAGAGGAAAAGCCCCTCAGCATCATGATTTCGTGGACCATGTACGCACTCAGAGGTAAACAAAAGCCACCAATATATAGAGAGAACAATGGTATGAAGCAGAGAATTACAGTGGAGCCTCTGAACAGGCCCCAGCACAGAAACACAAAAAAAGATTGCCCTGGTTCTTAACTATTTTGTATGTCTAGCTATAAGAAAGCCAGAAGCCCCAGTAGTCTTCACTCCTCTTTTCTGGGAATAATTTCCAGTTGGAAAATGAAATGCAGCCATGGAATAGAACAGCCTTGTCTGGAACAGACCCTATGTGACTTGTCTAAGATAACTCAGGAAGGAACATTCGTTTAAAATCTTGCTTGGCGTTGACTTGTATTGACATAACCTTCAAACACGTGGTATCTACAGAACGTGTGAAGTGCAATTAACAAGTTTTGCTTGAAAAAGTTTGTGTTTGGTTTGGTTTTTCTTGCAAAACTAGGGCTAAGAAGATGGCGGATGAAGAGCATATTCGGCACTGCATGCTTTACGAGTTCCAATTAGGAAGAAAAGCAAGTGAGGCTGCAAAAAACATCTGTAGTGCTCTTGGTCAAGATGCAGTTAGCGCCAGAAAATGCCAGCGTTGGTTTGAGAAATTTCGCGAGGGAAATTTTTCGTTAGATGACAAGAGTGGTCGAGGTCGTGTGTCCAATTTTGATCAAGAAGCTCTTCAAGCTCTTTTGGTGCAAAATCCTCAAATTACCCAACAAGAGCTTGTGACAACTTTAAATTGTTCACAAAAAACAATTTCCAATCAATTGCGTGCACTTGGCAAAGTCCAAAAGTTTGGAAAATGGGTTCCTCATGAGTTGACCGACAACAACCGTAATCAAAGAGTCACAATTTGCAGTTCGCTCCTCTCTCGTCAAAACCATTTGCCATTTTTAGAGCAAATTGTTACCGGAGATGAAGAATGGGTGCTGTATGTTAATTTGAAAAGGCGGCCTCAATGGTTGGACAAAAATGAGGCTCCGCAGCCCACGCCAAAACCTGACTTGCATGCGAAAAAAGTGATGTTGTGTGTTTGGTGGAATTTTAAAGGAATTCTTCATTACGAACTTTTACCATCTAACCAAACCATTACAAGTGCAGTGTATAGTGCCCAATTGGAAAGGTTAGCCCAAGCTTTAAGAGAAAAAGAACCCACGCTGATTAATCGGAAGGGCGTAATTCTTCACCATGATAACGCACGACCGCATACTGCAAGAATCACTGCTGAAAAACTGCGCCAGTTGGAATGGGAAGTTCTCCTTCAACCTGCATATTCTCCTGATATTGCCCCTTCCGATTACCATTTGTTTCGTTCTTTGCAAAACTTTCTTCTTGGAAAAAAATTTAATAATGAAGAATGCCTCAAAAATGCATTGACCGAATTTTTTGCATCAAAATCACAAGAATTTTACAACAGAGGGATTAAAATGCTTCCTGAGCGTTGGGCACAAGTAGTAGAAAACAACGGCAACTATATTGTTGATTAAATTTTGTTGTATTGTTTAAATAAATTCTATTTAAAAAAGTATTAGAAAACGACATTAATTATTACTAGACCTAATATACTAATTAGAAATCAGAGTAACCTGTTAAATTTCCTTAGAGGTCAGACTGAATACTAACACTTATTTCAAAGAACAAGCCAATTATACCAATTAATTAGTTTCTCTCCTTTAAGCCAGTGCTTAAATTAGATATACTTACAAGCAATTTAGCTTGCTCTGGAAGAGTGATTTGTTCCCTTTTTCCATCTGGATACCGCAACATCAGCTGTGCTTTTGGTCCTGGGGTTAAAATATATATAAATGTATATATATATATATACGGGAGTTTAAGATGGAAGACAAATTTAAACAAATTCAGTAATATTCAAGTTTCAGTAAAGTAAGTCTAGAACATAGCTCACCATTTATATCTATGCCCTCCACTATTCCATCTGATTTCTCAGGTGACATCTCTAATATTTCTGAATCCATGACTGACAATGCTTGGTGGTTTGTGGTTGTTCCAGGCTCAGTTCTGGGTGGGGGCTCAGTTAGCAGCCTTCTGTTTTCCTCTTTTCTATGCCCCAAATCTTTATGGGGAGACTTTCTGGACTTGGCAAGATTCTCTATATCATCTTCTTCATCAGAGCCACAAACGGATATAAATTCCTCACTGCCAGAAAAAAGTTCAGATTCAGATTCTTCATCCGAGCGGCTATCCTGTTTTGTCTGTGATGAATCAAAATGTGTTTCTTGCAAGGAGGCTCTGATGGCAGCTTCTAGCTGGCTGTCTTCACTTGCATCTATAAGGCTCTCCTGCAAGATTCAGTCATAAAACACGGGTGCAAAAGAAAGAAAACAGTTAAACCAAAAAATAGTCAAGCCAGACAAGGCACAAGAAATATGATAGTTTGCCATTATTATTTTCTACTAAATATATCTCTTCTACTAAATTTTCACCTAGTTGAAGGCAATACTTTGTCCTACACAGCCAACTTGGGATGAATAGTTTAAAAATAAAAATAAAAACTGTCATACCACCTGGTATAATGATGCTGCAAGCATAGGGAAGTTTTCTACATCAAAATGAATAAAACTAAGAAAACAGAATACTGACTGCCCAAAAGAGGCAAGAATTAAGGTTTTTATATATAAAGCAAAAATATTACCGTATTTTTCGGACCATAAGACGCACCGGACCATAAGACGCACCAGTTTTTAGAGAAGGGAAATGAAGAAAAAAAGATTCTGAAACAAATAGTGTCCTAAAATATTTTATGTGCATTAAAACCCAACATCACAGTCATAAACACATGTAATCAACCCTGTAAAGTAAACAGCAGCATTTAGAACCATTTTAGAGCCGGGCAAGCACACAGAGACCACACAGAGCCGGGCAAGTAAAAAAACTTTTTTTTAAAAGTATATGTGTAGGCTATATTTGGACCATAAGACGCAGGGACTTTTCCCCCCCCACTTCTGGGGGGGAAAAGGTGCGTCTTATGGTCCGAAAAATACGGTAGTCTTTAACATGATTATATAAAGAAGCATGTCTACCTTGCTCACCATTATATTCTTCAATTAGCATTGTTTTGCCACATAGAATATCAATAAATAGCTCAGTAACTATCGTTTTGCAAAAAAAAAACCAAAAAAAACAAAAACTAACAGATCACTAACATTCAAAACAAAATACCATACAATAAATTGGGAAAAACGACTATATTTTCCCAAGCTTAATTACAATAAGATTTTCTTTTTCTTTTTTTTAATATATTTTTATTGATTTTTTATAGAGAGGAAGAGAGAGGGATAGAGAGCTAGAAACATAGAAACATCGACCAGCTGCCTCTTGCACATCCCCTACCAGGGAAGTGCCCGCAACCAACGTACATGCCCTTGACCGGAATCGAACCCGGGACCTTTCAGTCCGCAGACCGACGCTCTACCACTGAGCCAAACTGGTTTCGGCACAATAAGATTTTCATTGTGATGATGAGAAATACAAACTTAGTAGTTTTCCTTTTGGTAAAGTTATAATGCCACAGATTTCACTAAACTTATTCAGTCACAAAATTTGGGTTGCTTGCCAAAGGAATTTTGACAAAGAAGAAATAAACTTATGGTGTCATACTCCCTGATTTCAAACTGTTTTCCAAAGCTATAGTATTTAAACAGTATGATGCTGGCATAAAAACAGACACACAGAACAAGGGAGCTGCACAGAGAGCCCAGAAATAAACCCATGCTTATATGGTCAATTAATCTACAACAAAGGAGACAAGAATATACAAGGGGGAAAAGTTAGTCCCTTCAATAAATGATACTGGGAATACTGGATATCCATATGCAAGAAAATGAAATCAGACCACTTTCTTATACCATATACAAGAATAAATTCAAAATAGATGAAAAACTTAAATATGAGACCTGATATATCTGATAAGGGGTTAATATCCAAAATATATAAGTAACTCATACAACTCAACATCAAAAACAAATAATCCAATAAAAAATGAGCAGAGGACCTGAACAGACAGACATCTCTCCAAAGAAGAAATACAGATGGCCAACAGACTAAATCATTAGGGAAATGTAAATCAAAACCACAAAGATTATTACAACTATAAGAATGCTATTATAAAAAAGACAATAATAAAGAACAAGTGTTGGTGAGGATGTAGAGAAAACTCTCTCCTGCATTGTTGGTAGGATTATAAATTAGTGCAACTAATACAAAACAGTCTGGTGATTTCTCAAAAAAATTAAAAATAGAACTACCAGCAATTCCACTTGTGGGTGTTCACCAACAAAAATAGAAAACACTATTTAGCTGAAACCGGTTTGGCTCAGTGGTAGAGCGTCGGTCTGTGGACTGAGGGGTCCCAGGTTCGATTCCGGTCAGGGGCATGTACGTTGGTTGCGGGCACATCCCCGGTGGGGGGTGTGCAAGAGGCAGCTGGTCGGTGCTTCTCTCTCATCGACATTTCTAGCTCTCTATCTCTCTCCCTTCTTCTCTGTAAAAAATCAATAAAAATATATTTAAAAAAAAGAAGAAAAAAAAAGAAAACACTATTTAGAAAAGATCTATGCAACATATACAATGATAACCAAACCCCACCAACTTCAGCATTGTTCACAATACCAAGATATGGAAGCAACCTGGTATCCATCAATAGAATGAATGGATGAAAATAATGTGGTACATACACTCAATGGAATATTACTCAGCAATAAAAAATAGTAAAATCTTGTCATTTGTGATGAGCTTAGACAGTATTATGCTAAATGAAATAAGTCAAAGACAAACAGCATATGATTTCACTTTAATGTGGAATCTAAAACACAAATAAAAGTAAGCAAAACAAACTCATAAATACAGAGAACAAACTGATGTTTGCTAAAGGGGAATTGGGTGAGAGGATGAGTAAAAAGAGAGAAGATTAAAAAGTACAAATTTCCAGTTTTAAACTAAGTCATAGCTATGTAATATACAGCATAGAGCATATAGTCAATAATATTATAATAACTTTGTATGGTGACAGTTAGACTTATTGTGGTGATCATTTTATAAGGTATATAAATGTTGAATCAGTATATTGTATACCTGAAACTAACAATGTATGTGAACTATAACTTTAAAATTTTTTAAATATATTTAAAAATTTTAAATAATAAAACAAAAATTAATCAAACAAACAAAAAAGCGCCGAGACCGGTTTGGCTCAATGGATAGAGCGTTGCTTGGGGACTGAGGGGACCCGGGTTCAATTCCGGTCAAGGGCATGTACCTTGGTTGCGGGCATATCCCCAGTAGGGGGTGTGCAGGAGGCGGCTGATCGATGACTCTCTCTCATCAATGTTTCTGATTCTCTCTCTCTTCCTCTCTGTACAAAATCAATAAAATATATATTTAAAAAAAAAAAAAAAAAAAAACCAAAAAAGCATATTTGGGTAGAAATTATTTAGATTCTAACTCAAACAAAGCTATAAAAATATAAAATCTGTAAGATAACTGAAAGTTAAATACTGGATATCTCATGATGTCAAAATTAATTGATTTTTAAAGTGTGTGTTAATGGTATTGTGATTTTTAAAAATATATTTTTATTTATTTCAGAGAGGAAGGGAGAGAGTGATAGAAACATCAATAATGAGAGAGAATCATTGATCGGCTGCCTATTGTACACCCCCTACTGGGGATCGAGCCCACAACCTGGGCATGTGCCTTGACTGGAATCCTTCAGTCCACAGGCTGATGCTCTATCCACTGAATCAAATCGGCCAGGGCTTGTGATTGTTTTTTAAAAAGAGCCTTTGTCTATAGAGAACAGGCTGAACACTGTCAGAGAGGAGGAGACTGAGTCATGGAACTGGATGAAAACGGTGAAGGAATTAAGAAAAGAAAAAAAAACAACACACACCTGAAAATCTCATAGACACCAACAACAGTAAGGTGATTACCAGAGGGAAAGGGAGGTGGGGGAAGGTAGAAGGTATAGGAAGGATAAAGGGTGATGGAAGGAGACTTGACTTCGAGTGGTAAACACACAGTATTAATAGAACTGTATTCCTGAAACCTAACTTTATTAACCAATATCACCCCAATAAATTCAATAAATTAAAAATATATAAAATCTCTGCCCTAACTGGTTTGGCTCAGTGGATAGAGCGTCAGCCTGCGACTCAAGGGTCCCTAATAATGTGCATAAAAGAAAACCTATCAAGCTAACAATGTCTATTTACCAGTTCCCCTTGTAGCTAGAAAAAACTTGTGGTATGGAGCTAAAGCACTTACAGAGAAAGCATATAACTAACTGCCTATATTAGAAAAAGAAGTGATCTCAATTAATTCCTTATTTCCATATTAAAATTTTTAAAAGTACCCACATAGAATAAGATAAAATTAAACTCAACTACACATATAGCCAGTAATAATGACCACCTACCATGAGAGTTTTCTAGCAAAAAAAAAAATTTTTTTTTAACTGCTGCTTAGACCTGGCAATGCTGCCCTTGAAAGAAATGGATTCCTCCCTCTATCACTGGGGCTTGCTAAATCAGTTCCCCTCCTCACTGCTACATATTCACATTTTTTACTTCTAAACCCAGGTCTTAGGTCACATAACTGCAAGGGAGACTAAAAATATGAATCGTATGATTTCACTGAAAAGACAGAATCCAAATGTGGGAAATTATCAAAATATAAGAAGGGCATCCAAGATGTTGTACAGCCACAAATTATAGCTGTCCAATACTTACATTAATATCTTTAAGATCTTAACCTCAAACATTTTACACAAGACATCTATATACAATTACATTTAATTGCTCATCATCACTTCTTAGTCATACTTACTGAACGGGCACATTTTTTGGGGGGACTGTTAGAAAGTCCATCCAGTTGCCCATGTTCACCAAGAAATCCTGTCACTTGGTCCAAGAAAGAAGATACGTCTAACTGGTGCCATTCTACTAGCTTCTGACCTAAAAATAAAAACCGGGATATATAAATATAATAAAATCAACATATCAACATTCTCATTAAGTATTTTTATTGGCATTTGCATAATTAAAATTTTAGGAACGCATATTCCCACTGTTAGGACTCAGGGCAATATAGTCCTTAATGGCCACAGGAGAACAAAGAACAAGAACTTGTCCAAGCTCCCCGCCACAGGAGTCAAAAATCAGGAATATTTGCTGGACACCATGAATGAGATTATATAAGGAATTAAAACTGTCCTAAAAATGCCTGATCGCAATCCACATTCCAAGCCCACCAACTCAGCCTCCCAGACCCACTGACGACAAAAGCCATTGACTGCATATAAAGATGAAACTCCAGCTCTTGGGGACAGACATCAACCCAATATCCCCTTGGCTCAGTGCTATGCAGTCCTTCCCTTTGGATATCCCTTCACCATCTCACTTCTTAAATAAATTCAAATTTTCTTTATCCACTATCTGAAATGGCTATTTAGCCTGCCCAAGTACCACCATGTTAACCTTTCACCCACCCTTCACCAGTTTAAATTACATAGTGTTTTCATAACCCAAAGAATTCATCGATTATAGCCAACCTAAGATTCTCAGCCATCTGGCAACTTCTTTATCTGCAAATATCATTTATTGGCATTTAGAAAGAGATTCAAAGAAAGCAAAATCTTGATAAAACTTAATTCATTAATAATAAAATCAGTTCTACCCTCCACTTCTTCACTGGGATTACAACCAGTACCTGAGCAATCTTAATATTTTAATAATAGAAAACCCAAGGGGATTCCTTAAAATATGACAAGATAAAAGTTATTTCTAGAAAGTACAGAGCTGCAAAAATATAAAATACTATCATCCCCCAAATTGTCAGAAACAGACTCCCTAACATATTTCAATAGATGTTTAAATAATTCTAAAGAAACTGAATAAAAACCCTTCACCTAAATTATTACAAAGATTTCCAAAACTGAATCCAGTCAAGTATTAAAGTAACTGAAAAATAAGTCATAGGTCAATTGTTGTAAACTGATATAAAATAAATATTACCTGTCCGTGGATCCAAGATGGAAACATAGGGGAAATCCCCTAGCTTATAAAACTGTATGTATCTCTGACCTTCCTCACTGTCATGATAAACCTGTTAAATCATTGATATAAAGAAAAGTCAACCTCTAAAAAAGTATTAACTGTATCCTTGTTATATACCAACAATTAATTCTCCAAATACACTTTTAGTATATGTTAAGATTCATTGCTACATTAAAGCGAAAAATGAAAGCAATCTGGTGAGAACTACCTCAACTTCCTGTCCTCCGTCCCTGTGAAAACTTATACATCAATCCATTTTTCCTCCCTTTCCAGTTCAGAAGAGATATTGCTCTTTCTGATCAAATTATCTGTCCACCTATATTATTCCAAACTCTATCATATACATCTTAATAAATCACTACATACTGAGACAATAAACTTGAATGGCTAGCATAGTGCTAGTCAGAGAGATGCTCAATCAATAGTTGCGGAAGAGCCCAGTTGGTGTGGCTCAGCGGTTGAGCATTGACCCAGAACCAACAGATCACTGATTCTATTCCTGGAGAGGGCACATGGCCAGATTGTGGGCTCTATCCCCAGTAGGGGGTGTGCAGGAGGTAGCTGAATGATGATGCTTCTCTCTCATTAATGTTTCTATCTCTCTATCCCTTTCCCTTCCACTCTCGCTATTAAGAAGAAAAAAATCAATGCAAACATATTTTTAAAAAATAGTTGTAGAAGAAAAATTTACCATTCAAAAAAATATTGAATTTAGGGAACCTGTAAAACATGAATTAATAAATAAATAACATTAACAGCGAGCACCCTGACCAGTTTGGCTCAGTGGATAGAGCGTTGGCCTGGGGACTCAAGGGTCCCAGGTTAGATTCCAGTCAAGGGCATGTACCTTGGTTGCGGGCACATCCCCGTAAGGGGTTGTGCAGGAGGCAGCTGATCGATGTTTCTCTCTCACCGATGTTTCTAAATCTCTATCCTCTCCCTTCCTCTCTGTAAAAAATCAATAAAATATATATTTTTAAAAATAAATAGCATTAATAGCATATCTTATAGAGGAAAAAATTAAGTTCATTCAGATGTTTTTATTTTTAAATTATTCATAAAAAATATAAAATTTGAACAAAATTATCTAACCTTAGCTTGGTAATTTACATAAAAAGAAAATAGAATCAGCAAGATTAAGTGACATGTCTAAGAAATATAAATAAAAAGTATAAAACTCAAGCTAAAAATCCAAGCCTTAGCCAAATGTTTTTCCATTACTGAAGACCTTCTACATTCACACTGTCAATTATAACCACCACTACAAAATGTGCTACTGAAGTACTTGAAATGTGACTGACTGGTCTGAACTGAGCAGTTCTGTATGTATAAAATATACACACCACATCTTAAGAGACTTCACACATACACATTCAAAAACCAAAACATTTCATTAAGATTTTAATATCTGTTTGATAATAGATATATTGATTTTAAAACATTAAAATTAATTTCACCTATTTCTTTTGACCTTTTAAAATGTGGCTACTAGAGCATTTTTAATTAAATATGTGGCTCACATTATATTCCTACTAGAGGTCTGTTGCACGAGATTCGTGCACTGGGGGTGGGGGAGGGTGTCCTTCAGCTGGGCCCGCACCCTCTCTCAGTCTGGGACTCCTGAGGGATATCTTGCTTCCAGGGGGATCGGGCCTAAGCCAGCAGCCAGACATCCCTCTCACAATCCTGGGCTCTCGCAGTCTGGGGCTCTCGCAGTCTGGGACCCCTCACTCCTTACCTCCCACCACTACCGCTGAACTCGCCAGCCATGAGCCCAGCTTCTAGCTAAGCAGTGCTCCCCCTGTGGGAGCACACTGACCACCAGGGGGCAGCTCATGCGTTGAGCCTCTGGCCCCTGGTGGTCAGTGCTCTTCATATCAACAAGTCGATTTGCATATTAGGGTTTTATTATATAGAACTGTATAAGTATGGTTATACACTCTATCAAGATATTTTAGGTCATCTGAGATATGAATATTATATAGTTATGCAGCTTGGTTCTTTCTTTCCTTCCCTCAAGAGTTCTTCATTGTTGCCCTAATTTTCACTTGTCCTTACTATTTCAGCCATTATGTGTGGTTTTACCTTTACATATATCATAATTTAACTCAGTTATTAAAATTTTTGCAGTTTATTAAATTCCTCCTTCTCAACATCCCATACTACAAAAATAAAATGCTACTAAAACCTTAATTCTTCTCACCTGCCAGAAAATGAAATGTTCCCGGATAATATTTTTCACAGCATCATTGCTCCATACATCACGGTTGAGGCACTGGCATGCAAAGTCTTGTACATTTTGAATGTTTATCATCAGCCACTTATTCTGCATCTGCCCACACTCTTTGGCCTATAAGAGTAAAGTTACAGAACACCTGTTAGAAATAATTTCTCCTTGGTAACTGATATGTTTCAGAGTTCAGAAACTGTTATCATTTAAACACTACTAAGTTTTTCCCCTCAAGTATAACATCTAGAGTTTTTGGTGTGTGTGTGTGTGTGTGTGTGTGTGTGTATATATATTATTTTATATATATATTATATGTATAATATATATATATTAACTATTTCACATTATATATAATGTAAAATAATTTACATTAATTGGTATAGATACATATAATTATACTGTCCATTTTCAAGCATTTTTCAGACTTAAATAAACTGTTATTGTTATAATGGCTGGACTTTTATTGTACATTTAAACATCTAAAAAAAATTATACAAACTTAAGGTCAAGTCACAAAATTCTATCACATTATCTCTTTCAACCCCTATTAGGCATGTACTATTTCATAGGATCACCTTAAATATTTCTGTAAAAGCTGCTAAGGGTTTTTTCTCTTAGGTTTGTTTTCCTAGGAGATTTTAAAAAATGAGATTATAGAATCAAAGAATGTTTCAGAATGATTTTGAAAAAAAAACACCAATTTATAGCACAAATATTAATCATGAATGTGTACTTTTTACCTAATAGTTCGTTGTCACCTTAAAAACCTAAAAAGTTGCTGAATACAAAGATTGGCAGAAAAGCAAATGAGCGAGCAAATGCTTCCTTAAACCTTTGTATAGGAACAATGAAATGAAAGCCATAGTTTTGAGTAATTTTGTCTTAGAACAATATTATTTCCCATACCAGACTGGCACAGATCTTCAATTAACTCAGGTTAATAACAGTTGAAAAACATACATCATTTTGGAGGTAATGAACAATGTAAGACTATCTTCTGCTTTAAGAAGGTTTACAGTCTTACAGATAACTATTATCCTATTTTTTATATATGAATCCTCCAGAAAAAAATCATTTTCTGATATTTAATGTTGATTCCACATGTGAAAACTCAAGTTCAAAAAGGAATCCCTGATTTGAGCCAGAAAGCTGCATATAACTAGTCAAAAACTTATTTAAAAATATATAAATACTAGAGGCCTGGTGCACAAATTTCAGGGTGGGGTGGGGTGTGTTCCTAGCCCAGCCTGCACCCTCTCCAATCTGGGACCCCTTGAGGGATGTCCCACTGCCCATTTAGGCCCGATCCCATCAGGCCTGCAGGTGAAGGCAGTTCAAAGACGAGGGTATGCAGTTCATAGCCCAAGGCATGCAGTTCACCCCTAACTGCCTTCCCTGCCCCCAAATGCCCTCCCCTCCAGTCCTGGTCACCCCCAACTGTCCTCCCCTGCAGGCCTGGTTGCCCCTAACTACCCTCCCCTGCCAGCCAGGTCACCCCTAACTGCCCTCCCTGCCAGCCTGGTTACCCCTAACTGCTCTCTCCTGCTGGCCTGGTCGCCCACAACTGCCCTCCCCTGCTGGCCGTCTTGTGTCCACATGGGTTGGCCATCTTGTGTGTTGGAGTGATGGTCAATTTGCATATCACCTCTTTATTATTTATCCCTTACTCCTATAAAGTAATAGTGTTCAACTTACTTCCTTACCTATAGCATGCACATAGGTTTGATAAATGAGTGATAAATGTATATTTATATACCTTAACTGAAGAAAAAGTATTTGAGAGGGGGAAAAAATTTTTTTTAAACAAATTCACATTTTATTTACGTCGAAATAAACTGTACAAAATTGACTTTCTTCACCAAAAATAACAGCAATATTTTCTGTATTATTCCTAGATAAACTACAAAACACAATTTTGTAGGTTGTCTAGGTTTTACTTATAAATCAAGACGAGGCAGTAGATATAATCATGGAAAAAGACAGAATAAAAAAGACCAATCTGTTGTCAATATCCATGGCCTCTGATCCTGTCTTGACCATGAAACAGAAGTGTTCAACATATACTTGCTAAAAAGCTTATGAAGATATAGACTCAACAAAGGAATGTAAACAGCAACACCCAGATGTGGAACAATGGCAGGTTCTTCCTTCAATGTTTAACAGTAACTTGTTTAAGATTATCGAATAAAGACAAAATCTATACTGAAATCCTTGTTTGGCAAGCTCACTTTTCTTTCACTATCTGACAATTTAACTGTTCATTACAGATTTTTAATAGCATACTTAAAACTCTTGCTATTCAAAGTTTAGTCATGAGCTTCATTGTAAAATTTTATGAAATGTATTACCCCCCATACCTTCTCAAAATTGATTTCTTCAAAGAACTGGTAACTCAATACCCAACAACTGGATCCACAGTGATAATAAATGTTATGTCTAAAATGACTTAACTAAAACAATTCCAAAGTGCCATTAGCAGAGATCACGCAGAAGTGCAATGTGGCACTTTCAACGCTACCGAGGGAAAAATTTAATACACATTTCTATAACAGGGTAAATGTACATAAGTCTGCCTAAAAATACAACACAGAGAAGAAAAAAAACAAAAAAAAAACTCGAGTTTAGAAATGATGGTCATTTGCTTTTGTTTTTAAAAATTCATTTATTCACATTTATGCTTTAATTCAGATTCATTCATCCAACAAATAAACTTACTAAGTACCTATCATGTTTCAGGTATAGCTATAGATGCTGGAATTAGAGCAGCTACCAAAACACAAAATCCCTTCCTTCATGAAGCATACATTGGAGAGAAACCTTATATCAATCAATATGACACTAATTTACTGCTGGAAGGAAAAGCCCGAAGACATGAATTTTATGCAAAGCAACAATGTTTAGAGGGAATATAAGAGTCTTACACAAATGATGAACTTTCCCTCTTGGAATCTATTAGACTGTTTAGAATCAACACTCAAAAGCCATTTTATTATATGAAGACCCAAGAACAAGTGTGACTACATCAAATAGAGACGTTTGTGATATGACTTATCTGTGACAAGGGAAACAGTGAGAGTATCTCTCCCAGTCCCAGACAGATCAGTAAAGAAAAAACAAACAAAAAAAACAACAAAGAAACAGAATAGCCCTGGCTGGTTTGGCTCAGTGGATAGAGCATCAGCCTGCGGACTGAAGGGTCCTGGGTCCAATTCAAGGACACAGCCGAAACCGGTTTGGCTCAGCGGTAGAGCGTCGGTCTGTGGACTGAAAGGTCCCAGGTTCGATTCCGGTCAAGGGCATGTACATTGGTTGCGGGCACATCCCTAGTAGGGGGTGTGCAAGAGGCAGCTGGTCGATGTTTCTCTGTCATCGACATTTCTAGCTTTCTATCTCTTTCCCTTCCTCCTCTCTGTAAAATATCAATAAAATATATTAAAAAAAAAAAAAAAAAAAAAAAAAAAAGGACACATGCCGGGGCTGTGGGCATGATCACCAGTGGGGGATTGTGTAGGAGGCAGACGATTGGTGATTCTCATCATTGATGTTTCTCTCCCTCTCCCTTCCTCTCTGAAATCAATAAAAATATATATATTTTTTAAATACAAAGGAAAAGATATAATAGGTATACATAAGGTCAAGGAAAAAAAATATTAAAACTAGAGGCCCATTGCATGAAATTTGTGTCCCTCAGCCCAGTCTTCACCCTCTCCAATCTGGTACCCCCTTGAGGGATGTCCAACTGCCCAGCAGGATCGAGGCCTAAACGGGCAGTTGAACATCTCTCTCACAATCCAGGACTGCTGGCTCCCAACTGCTTGCCTTCATGCCTTCCTGACTGCTCCTAACCACTTCTGCCCACCAGCTTGATCATACCCTAACCCAATCACTCCCCTGCCAGCCTGATTGGTGCCTAACTGATCCCCTGCCAGCCTGATTGCCCCTATCTGCCCTCCCCTGCAAGCCTAGTCCCCCCCAATTGCTCTCACCTGCAGGCCCGGTCACCCCCAACTTCCCTCCTCTGCCAGCCTGGTCACACCTAACTGCCCTCCCTTGCAGGCCTGGTCCCTCCCAACTGTCCTCCCCTGCTGGCCATCTTGTGGCACCCATCTTGTGTCCACATGGGGGCAGCCATCTTTGACTATATGAGGGCAGCCATCTTGTGTGTTGGAGTGACGGTCAATTTGCATATTATTCTTTTATTAGATAAAAGAATAATATGGGTGCATGGGTGAGGGCCAGCTGGTTTGTTCTGAAGGGTGTTCCAGGTCAGTGGGGATTCCCTTGTGGCATAGGGCGGCTTGGGTGCGGGGCCTGTAGTGGTTTGCAGGCCAGCCACACTGCCCGGCAACCCAAGTGGAGGCCCTGATATCTGGGATTTATTTAACTACTATAATTGAAACTTTGTAGCTTTAGGTAGAGGCCAAGGCCGGCCAGGGTGGGTGGGAAGCTTGGCTTCCTCCATTGCCAGGGAAACCCAAGCCTCCTGCTCGCTCTGTGGTCACAGCCATCTTGGTTGGATTAATTTGCATACTCACTCCTGATTGGCTTGTGCGTGTGGCTTGTGGGTGTAGCAGATGTATGGTCAATTTGCATGTTTCTCTTTTATTACTGTAGATATGCACAGTACTTTTTAATGGAAATAGTTATTTTATTCCCCCCCACACTGGTTTGCTATATTTGCCAACTTTGAATAAAACTAAATATAAGCTTTGTATAAAGTTTATTTTTAAAAAGTTTATCTTAAATATTTTGTTACTGAATTGGTTCTTTATATTTTTAGCTAAAATAGTTTTACTTACTAGCAGGACTTTTTTTGGGGGGCAATTATGAATCTTTTATTTTTTAATTTTTTAATTTCTTCGTTGATTAAGGTATTACATATGTGTCCTCATCCCCCCATTACTAGCAGGACTTTTAAAATTAGCAAAGTATTCTTAGTAATTATGACTAGGTACATGTGAATTAAATGATAACAAATATGCATTTATAATGAAAATAAGGACTATTATGGAAATTGTTCTGATTCTTTCTGTACCATATACTCCAGATTATACCTTTCAGTTATATAAGAAAGATTTATTGAGGGCCAATTATGTGCCAAAAGCTCTTCTAGGCATTGAATACAATGACAAATAAAACGAAGTTCCTGTGTTCATGGAAATTACAAGCTACATGTTCCCTTGCCTAGATCAGATCATTCATCCTAAGTGGGTCACTCAGTTATAGCTATACTAATTTCCTTGGCTGTACCAGAAATATATCCTAGTTCCTTTCAGCCTAACTATCTGCTGTCCCACCTGACGTTCATATGGTCCACGTTCCTTCATTTCACTCAGGTTTCCGCACAAATCTCATCCTTCAGCATTTTCCTTGATCTTCCTATCTAAAACAGTCTTCTCTCCTCACAATTACAAACATATGTGAAACCTATGGAATCAACCCTGCTTTTAATTTTGCTTGAGTATATATGCATCTTAGTGGCTCTAAACAACAAAAAATTGCCCTTTCTCTTTTTCCCTTATTCTATTTTAGTTTTTAAAATGTATTTTATTGATTTCAGAGGGGAAGGGCAAGGGAGAAAGATATAGAAACATCAATAATGAAAGAGAATCATTTACCAGTGGCCCTCCTGTACACCCCACACTGGGGATCCAGCCTGAAACGTGGGCATGTGCCTTGACTGGGAATCAAACCGTGACCTCCTGGTTCATAGGTCGATGATCAACCATTGAGCCACGCCGAATGGGTCTCTTATTCTATTTTAGTTTATTTTCTCCCACTGCATACTATAACCTAAAAGTACACCCTATTTCTATACTGCATATACATACACGAAACACGTTTTACATATATGTATATACATTTGATTTTTGTTTATAGTCTGTTTCTCCCTCTTTTTTTATAAACCTTTTATGGCAAGGTCTCTGTGTAATTTGCACTATCTCCCAGGGGCAGAAACTGCTTATAGGTACCAGATATCCATTTTCTTCTAAGCACCTGGATTTCCTAGTATCCCTTGCAACAGGTGTAAGCATATTATTAATAGCAAGTTCTGGTCAATGGGATGTGAACAGAAGTAATGTATACAACTTCTAGGTTATGCCTTTAAAAGAAAAAAGTATACCCTTCTCAGCCCCCTCCCTCCTTCATCTAGCTCACATGTGTCAAACACAAGGCCCGCGGGCCAAATCCGTCCCGCCAGGCCTTGCAATGTGGCCCGCACCGCGCTGTCATCACTGCACTCTGCTGCGTTTCCATCACAATGACAGTTTATGACTGTTCAGTAAACCATTCGGCCAGCGATTTAGGCTGGATTTTAGATTTTGGCCCCTTCTCTGATTGAGTTCGACACCCCTAATCTAGCTAGAAAGCAAACATGGTGGTAAGCTACCTTGAATCATGTAGGCAAAGGCAAGCAACACCTAGGAAATAGAAAAAAGAAAACTTGTGCTAATAACTTCACAGAGCAGAACCATCCTAATAGCCTGGACTTCTATATCTTGTTTAAGCTACTGTTTTTCTTCTTCATGGTCTCTCACATACAGTAAAATCTATCCCAACAAATATAATCCCTATTATACCTAGAACAAGGCCTTACAAAAGGAGGCCTCGATAAATATTACCGTAATCAGTCTCTTCAGAACCCTTGAATATGGTCTACCTCTTAGTTACACTAAGACAGTCTAGTTTCTAAAAGTGTATATTATGGCTCAGAGCTACATCTAATATTGTTCCCAAACCTACGGGCCCTGCCTGAGCAACCAAAGAGAGTCCGTATAATTTTTAACATTCACCTCTCTAAGCATCAATGACTTAATTTTTATTATGACCTCCCTAATTTATATAAAACTAATAGACATATCATTAATTATAACGAAATGCCTATTTTTTCTGGGAGTGTAAATTTAAAGGTTCATTAATGATAAAATTTAGATTAGTGAAAATATGAATAAATTATTGCCAACAATGCAGGTCATGAAATACAAAGAAAAAAGGTGATGTAACTTTAAAAAAAAGAACAAAAAAATCAGACAATAATTTCAAAAAAGATTCACAGTTTACTTCAATGAGTTCAAAGTGACAAGATTAAATCAACCACAGAGTTATTTGTTAAGCCCTAGAGCAACTCAAAAGCTAATGAAAAGGAAAACATGTCAAAACAAACTGAGATCATTGTTGTCTTTTACATTGCTGCTACTCTCTCTCGGTGGCTATATTGTCACTAGAACATTAGAAAGGATAGGCAGACAAGCACTTGGAACACTAGAAAGTATAGGCAGCTACTGGGTTAAGATCATGAGGGAAGGATGAAGAAAACTGAGAAGGTATCTAACTTGACATATTTGAATTGAGAAAGACCAAAGACTTCCTCAACTCTAGACTTTTTACGAGACAAAAAAGAAATATTTTTTTTAAGCCTCACCAGAAGATATTTTTTTTTTTTTTAAGAGAAAGAGAGTGTAAGAGAGAGAGAAATATGGATGAGAGAGAAACATATTGATTGGCTGGATGCCTTGAGGGCCTGGGCCAATGGGAACCTATAACCAAGGTACATGCCCTTTACCAGAATCAAACCCAGGACCCTTTGGTCTGCAGACACTCTATTCACTGAGCCAAACCCTTTAAAAAAAAATGTTTTGATTTCAGAGAGAGGAAGGGAGAGGGAGAGAGAGAGAAACATCAATGATGAGAATAATCTATCGCTGCTTCCTGTACCGCTCCTCACTCCCCTGGGGGTTGAACCTGCAACCTGGGCATGTGTCCTGACCAGAAATCAAATTGTTACCTCCTGATTCATGGGTTGACGCTTAACCACCAAGCCACACCAGCTGGGCAAAAGAAACCTTTGTTTAGTCAAATCACCATCATTTGGATCTTCTGTTACATGCAGCCAAACCCTTTCAGGTTTTCCAATTCAGAAAAATTAAAACTGAAGAGCAAGCTTATGGTTAAATTTAACCTATAATACATGACTCATTTAGGCTAGTGTATGAGTATGTCAAGGAAAAAAAACTTTTTTTAAACTATCATAATTCACTTTCAAATATGTAGCTGTAGCTACCAACATATTTTTATGGTTATTGTTTGGCCTACTTTATTCTAACAGATAAGACTTAATCTTAAATGTAATTGACTTACATCAATGCAAATGCCATTCTAATGCAAAAGAGCATTAACAAGTTATTTAATACACAAAAGCAAGCTGTTTGAACACCTCAACAGAATATTTAAAATCCTATCTAAATTCACTCACTTAACAAATACTAGGTCCTATTAAATGCCAGAGATTAGGTCCCAAGATTTACCAAAATAAAAAGATGCACATTCTCCCTGCCCTTATTAAGCTTATAATTCAGCAAATAATCAAATAAACTTGCTCTGAGAAGTTTTTCTTTGGAATTAACCAAGTTAAAGCCAAGAAGTAAGTCAGAATATATTCTGCAACTAGAGATATTCTTTTAAAATACACTGCCCTAGCTGGTTTGGCTCAATGGATAGAGTATCGGCCAAAGAATTGAAGGGTACTGGGTTCAATTCCAGTCAAGGGTATATTCCTGGGTTGTGGACTTCACCTCCAGTAGGAGTTGTACAGGAGGCAGCCAATCAATGATTCTTTCTCATCATTGATGTTTCTATCTCTCTTTCCCTTCTTCCTTCCTCTCTAAAATCAATAAAAATATATTTTGAAAAATACACTAAGAACCCTCTAGAAATGTGGGCAAAAGATACCTACAAACAGTTCACAAATAGCCAACAAACACATGCACACTATTCTCAGTAGTAATCAAAGATATGTAAACAGTAAAAAAGTAAGATAATAAAAGAACTATCAAAATGGCAGATTCTAAAATGATACTACACAGGCTAATAAAATATTTTCATCAAGCAATCTCATATACTGCTGGTACAAATATAAATTAATGTATCCCTTTAAGTATCTCTCATGTCATACTTAGTAGGATGCCAATTCCCTACACAGTATACTGAAAACCTTTTTTATTCCTCTTAGAAAAAAAAATGGCATTGAAAATGCAGAAGAATTCATAACTAAAGCATAGAATTTCCAACTACTTACTGTTTCAAAGCTGCCCTTATGCATCAAATCAATGGGTGGCCGAAACAGATCTGCCAGGGTAGTTAGTTTCTTATCTATGGCTCCTCCATTTCTTAACTCTTGTTCTTGCCGAACTGAAACACAGAAGGATGAGGAAGTTTCAACTAACCATAAAAGGAATAAATCTAACAATATAAAAAACATGTATCAATTGCAAGAATTACTGAACAATGTACTTGACCTCAAATTGCAATTATTAAATGCTAATTCTGAAAAAAATAAATGCAAAGCAAGGTAGGAAGGGAATCTTCAAACTTGGTGCTGGCTTTCTACCCAAAGGTAAGAATAAAAGCAGAAATTTGTATTAGTTTTACAATCAAAGTAGTTCCTTCACATATTGAAAACTTTATTGTAAGAGAAAACTTTCAACTCCATTTATCTAGTTCTAAAAGTGATCTTAATTTACCTGTAGTTTCCAGCTATATTCCCAATCTTCAAAGTTTCTGGCAATAGTAAGAATGACCACTGCTATCACCTTCTCCTGGCAGGGCATAGGATTCCCTGGATGACCTGAGTCAGTTTGGGTTCCCCTTCAACACTCCCCAAAGTTACAAGATCTACTTGTGCTTTAATGGGCTCATTATAAATCAACTATAAAATCAAACATGGTCCAAGAATTTCTCTTATATTCCCTCAAATGTAACTGTCCTCTTTACAGTTTCATTGCTAAATCAGTACTAATTCCTCTAAAAGTTTAAGATCAAGATTCTCATTCTAACTTATTCCACAGAAATATATAAACCTATTCTAAACAACTGTAGCCAAAATGTTAATACTGGCTGGTTTGGGTGTGGCTTTTTCTTCTATTTTTCAATTCCCCATTGTGTTCATTAACAGATACTAGGATCTTGAGGGTAATCAGTTTTTTATTATAGTCAGTATTTGGGTGCTCATTCAAAAGCTCATTAAGTTTGTAAATTACCTTAATTTTTTTACATTATCTCCACCTCTTATTATTCCATCACCGAGTGAGTAGGTTAAAATTTAAAACAAATCAGTCTGGAAGAATTAATAACAATCACAGACTGAATTAATAATTTTACTTTTAAAATAAGGTGATTCTTCAAAGTAATTAGACCTTATATTAATCTTTTTCTTTTTAAGAAAAAAGTATATAGCCTAGCTCAGTGGTTTGCAAACTCATTAATCAACAGAGCCAAATACCAACAGTACGATGATTGAAATTTCTCTTGAGAGCCAAATTTTTTAAACTTAAACTTTTTCTAATGCCACTTCTTCAAAACAGACTTGCCCAGGCCGTGGTATTTTGTGGAAGAGCCACACTCAAGGAGCCAAAGAGCTGCATGTGGCTCATGAGCCACAGTTTGCCGATCACTGACTTAGCCAGTTTGGCTCAGTGGACCCTGCGAACTGAAGGGTCCTTGGTTCGATTCTGGTCAAGGGCATATGCCTGGATTGCAGACTCGGATCCCCAGTAGGGGGCATGCAGGATTCAGCCAATCAATGATTCTCTCTCATCATTGATGTTTTCAACTCTCTCTCTCTGAAAAATTAAAAAAAAAGAAAAAAAAAGGTATATAAATGAAACTAAGAACTTGACCTGTTAGGGTATAGGGACTTTTCCACTTTGTGGTTTTATGCATGGGAGAGAGAGGGAAAAGGAAAGGAGGGAAAGACAAGGAGAGACAGAGGGAAGATAAACTGATTCATAGATACCTACTAGTTTCAGTTTGAAAATCCCGAAAACCATCAAATATTGAACGTGCAGGCCGCCGTCTTTTAGGAGCTTTAAGGGGTAAAAACAGAATTATATAAAAATTTAAACATTAATTTTGAAACAATTCTAAAAACTTCCTTATCTGTAAGTATTGGTTTTAAAACACTCACAGATTCACAATGGTGCCCCCCTTCAAAAAAAACAAAGTTTTAAAAACTTTCAAATAATTCATACATAATTAACTCAACCATCTTCCACTCAATGATTTTGTTTTACAAATGAGAAAATTAACGTCCTGTTAAAGAGACTTGACCAAACCTGTGCAAAAGACAAGATTTTGAGGACGACTCTCCATGGAAATGAAGCTGCAAATGTTGCCAATATCTAATTCAGGTTAGCCTAAGGCAGTGATTTTCAACCAGTGTGCCACACAAATTTTTAAAACATGCAATGCTTGCCGAAACTGGTTTGGCTCAGTGGATAGAGCACCGGCGGCAGACTGAAGAGTCCTGGGTTCAATTCCGATCAGGGGCATGTACCTTGGTTGCAGGCACATCCCCAGGAGGCAGCTGATCGATGTTTCTCTCTCATCGATGTTCCTAACTCTCTATTCCTCTCTCTTCCTCTCTGTAAAAAATCAATAGAAATATTTTTTTAAACTAAATTAATTAATTTAAAAAAATAAAACATGCATGCTTATTTAGTGAGGGGCACTGACTCTTTTCCCTAAGGCTGTCAAATGACGATAGCCCTAGCCCATTTTGCTCAGCAGTTAGAGTGCTGACTCTTGGACTGAAGGATCGTATAATAGGTTTGATTCCAGGCAGGGGCATGTACCTTGGTTTCAGGCTTGACCTCAGCACTGGTTGGGCTTGTGTGGGAAGTAACCAATCTATGTATCTCTTAACCATTTTTTTCCCCCTTTGTCTCTCCCCCTCCTTTCTACTCTCTCTAAAAAGAGAATTAAAAATAAAAATAAATCAATGGAAAAAATATCCTCAGGTGAAAATTACAAAAAAAAAAAAAAAAAAAAGACAACAGCCCAACCAGTGTGACTCAGTGGTTGAGTGTCAACCTATGAACCAGGAGTTAACAATTCGAATCCCCATCAGGGCACATGCTCAATCCCCAGTAGAGGTCATGCAGGAAGGAGGCAACCACTCAATGACTGCCAGCAGTCAGACATCCCCTCATAATCCTGGACCACTGACTCCTAATTGCTCACCTGCCTGCCTGCCTGGTCGCCCCTAACTGCTCCCTCCTGCAGGCCTGATCACTCCTAAATGCTGCCTCCCTACCCCCCGCCAACCTAGTTGCTCCTAACTGCCACCCCCGCCAGCCTTGTCACCCCCACCTGTTCCCCTCTGCCGGCCTGGTTACCCATAACTGCCCCCCATTGCCGCCAGGTTGCCCCAACTGCCCCTCCCTCCCCGTTGGCCTGATCACCCCCACGGCCCCCCCTGCCAGCCTGGTCACCCCTCACGCGCACCCACCCCACCTGCCAACCTGGTCACCCCGTGAAGCCTGCATGTCCAGTCATTTGATCGTCCCTCACTAACCTCCTGCTGGCTTGGTCATAGGTAGCCATCTTGGGAGGGTGTGAGGGTTAATTTGCATATTACCCTTTATTATATCAGATGTATTGATCTTTTGGAATTATCTATTTAGTCCTTGCCAGTTTGGCTCAGTGGATAAGTGTCTGTCGGCCTATGGACTGAAGGATCCCAGGTTCGATTCTAGTCAAAGGCATGTACCTTGGTTACAGGCTCCTCCCCAGCCTGGGCCCTAGTCAGGGCTCATGCAGGAGGCAAATAATCCATGTGCTTCTCTTACATCGATCTTTCTCTCTGTCTTAACCTCTCTCTAAAAACCAATGAAAAAATATCCTCAAGTGAGGATTTAAAAAAAATTTAAAATATGTTCACTGAGTTATGCAAACAATTCAAATATTAACCATTTCATTATGCGATATTTTAAAAATCACCATTTTAATGTCACCAATAATCTCATCAGAAAGTCTTTAAAAAGTGAGGCACGACCTGGCTGGTTTGGCTCAATGGACAGAGCGTCAGCCTGCGGACTGAAGGGTCCCCGGTTCGATTCCAGCCAAGGGCACATGCCTGGGTTGTGGGCTCAATCCCCAGTGGGGGACATGCAGGAGGCAGCCGATCAATGATGCTCTCTCATCATTGATGTTTCCATCTCTCTCTCTTCCTCACTCCCTTCCTCTCTAAAATAAATTATATATATATATATATATATATATATATATATATATATATATATTTTTTTTTTTTTTTTTTTTTTTTAAGTGAGGCACTATTAGGCTCACAATCATGGATATAAACTTCCTAAATTCTAATTACTGACTGAAAACTTTTTAAAAAAAATCCTCAACTGAGGATATTTTTTCCACTGCTCTTTAGAGAAAGAGTGGAAGGGAAGGAGAAGGAAGGAGGGGGGAATGGAGAGGGGAGAGAAAGGGAGGAAGGAGGGAGGGAGGGAGGGAGGGAGGGAGGGAAACACATCAATGTGAGAGAGACATATTGATTGGTTGTCTCCCACACATGTCCCAACTGGGGCTGGGGATCAAACTTGCAACCAAGAGACATGTCCTTGATCAGAAATCAAACCCAACGCTCTTTGGACTAACGCTCTAACCACTGAACAAAACTGGCCAGGGCTCTGCTTAAAGCTTTTTTAAATCACTGGTAACAAATAATATCAGCTTTTTTTGCCTTGAAGCAACAGGCTTTGTTCATATTTTAAAAAATGTCTGTTCAATACCTAAATCTAAATAATCATAGCCTGCACAAGGGAAAAAAATAAGCAAAAGGACTGTATCAAACTAAAAAGGTTTTGCACAGCAAAGGAAACCATCAACAAAACAAAAAGACAAACTACATGGGAGAAGCTATTTGTCAATGCTACATTTGATAAGGGGTTAATATCCAAAATGTATGAAGGGCTCATGCATGCACACACACACACACACACACACACACACACACACACCCGCCAAAACAATCCAGTTTAAAAATGTGGGAGGATGCCCTGGCAGGTTTGGCTCAGTGGATTGAGCACCGGCATGTGGACTGAAGGGTCCCAGGGTTGATGTTGATCGGGGGAATGTGCCTGACTTGTGGGCTCCATCCCCAGTGGGGGGCATGCAGGAGGCAGCCGATCAATGAGTCTCATCATTGATGTTTCTATCTCTCTCTCCCCTCCTCTCTCCCTTCATCTCTGAAATAAAATAAAATAAAAAAATTTTATAGGCAGAGAACCTGAATAGATACCTCTGCAAAAAAGACATACAAATGACCCAAAGACATATGAAAAGACACACTCAATGTCACTAATTGACAGAGAAATGCAAAACCATAATGATACATCACCTCACACTTTTAAAAATGGCTATCAATAAATACACAAATAGCAAGTGTTGGGAGGATGTGGAGAAAGGGGAACCTTCATGCACTGGTGGTGGGAATGCAGACTGCTGTACCATTATGGAAGCTCTCAAAAAAAAATTAAAAATGTTGCCCTGGCCAGAGTACGGAAGGATTGTGGGTTTAATTCCAGGTCCAGGGCAAGTACCTCAGTTGCAGATTCAATTCCCAGCCCCAGTGAGGGCACAAGTGGGAGGCAACCTATCAATGTGTCTCTCTCATGATGATGTTTCTCTCCCCCCTCCCCCACAATCTTTCTAAAAAAGAATCAATGGAAAAATATCTTTGGTGAGGACTAACAAGAAAAAAAAAAAAATCCCACAGTTTGTCAGCAATCAAGTGAAAATAATGCCCCATAAAAAAGCAACTAGTTTTGCTTGCAACTTAAACAATTGTACAAGAACTTTTCCTTAAAACTACAGTACTTCAGCCGAGACCAGTTTGGCTCAATGGATAGAGCGTCGGCTTGGGGACTGAGGGGACCCGGGTTCGATTCTGGTCAGGGGCATGTGCCTTGGTTGCGGGCATGTCCCCGGTGGGGGGTGTGCGGGAGGTGGCTGATCGATGACTCTCTCTCATCGATGTTTCTGACTCTCTCTCTCTTCCTCCCTGTACAAAATCAATAAAATATATTTTTAAAAAATAAAAAAAAACTACAGTACTTCAATATGCAGAAGTATTTTGTGCATACATCCTATTTCATCAAACATAATAGTGTAAAAAATGTGTTCAATGCTTAAGATTAAATGAAATTAATTTTTACTGCTTCGATGATTGGATCCAAAAACTATGGTACATTTACACAATGGAATATTATGCTGCCATAAAAAAGAAGGAATTCTCATCATTTGCAGCAACCTGGATGGAATTGGAGAACATCATGCTGAGTGAAACAAGCCAGTCAATGAAGAGAGACACCACATGACCTCACTTATTTATGGATGATAAAGAACATTATAAACTGAAGAACCAAAAGATAGATATAGAGACAGTAAAGCAACGAGCAGACTGTCAAATTACAGCGGGGAGGTTGGAGAGATCTGGGGGAGATAAGAGATCAACCGAAGGACTTGTATACATGCATATAAGTACAACCAATGGACACAAAACTCTGGGAAGGGAAGGTATGTTCAGGAGGGGGGGGCATTGGTATATGTACAAAAATAATAATTTAATAAAAAATATATATTATAAAAAAAATTTTTACTGCTTCATTAAGATTAAACAAAATTGTCTTTTTTTAAAAACTGCAAGTGTGTGACAGTGAAGTAGTAAGTAGTAGAGTTTGTACACTACCCTAATTTAATTAAGATGTCACAGTTTAACCCATCATTACTTTTTTTTTTTTTTTTAATATTTTTTTTATTGATTTCAGAGAGGAAGGGAGAGGGAGGGAGAGAGAGAAACATCAATGAAGAGAGAGAATCACTGATTGGTTGCCACCTGCATGCCCTCTACTGGGGATTGAGCCTGCAATCCAGGCATGTGCCCTTGACGGGAATCGAACCCGGACCCTTCAGTCTGCAGGTCAACGTTCTATCCACTGAGTCAAACAAGTTAGGGCCCATCATTACTTTTGAGCCATCAATCCAAATATCAGCACCGTGGAAAAAAAGCAAATAACTTCTTAGCATTATTATAAAAATAATTTTTATTTTAATATATTTTATTGATTTTTTATAGAATGGAAGAGAGAGGGATAGAGAGTTAGAAACATCGATGAGAATCATCCATTAGCTGCCTCTTGCACACGACCTAGTGGGGATGTTTCCACAACCAAGGTACATGCCCTTGACCAGAATCGAACCTGGGACCTTTCAGTTCGCAGACCGACGCTCTATCCACTGAGCTAAACCGGTTTCGGCATAAAAATAGTTTTGACCTTACAGACACCATTAAAGGGTATTGGGAATCCTTGACCACACTTTAAGAATCACACTTTAGCCCAGCTGGTGTGGCTCAGTGGTTGAGAATCAACCTACAAACCAGAAGGTCAGAGTTCAATTCCCCGTCTGGGCAAATGTCATGATTGTGGGCTTGATTCCCAGTGGGGGACATGCAGGAGGATGATTCTCTCTCATCATCGATGTTTCTATCTCTCTCCCTAACGTCCTCTATGAAATCAATAAAAAAATATATTTTTAAAAATCACATTTTAATACTGTCCTAAAAACAAATAATTCTCCGAAAACCTTCCTTAAGTTATAATAAGGTCCAATAGTAACAGTTCAGGCTGAATTCCCAACTGTATAAAGTCATTCTTATCCCCATCCTAATGTATATCAAACCAGAGGTAAAAGAAGAAAAGTGAGATTTCAAATGGGAACTCTTTTGCCTCTGTTCAGCAATAAACAGCACAAAATCTATTTCCTGTTGTCTTTCTCCACTCAAAGATCTCATCTTCTTCCTTGCAATAAAGAAAAGATAGAGCTTCCAAGTTATTATTCTTTGGCTCTAAAAATCTATTCATAACATTTATCTTTTAAAAAATTATTACTAGCTTTATTCTAGTATATTAACAACACAATGGCTAAACCAAACAACACAGAAAGCACATATTATACTTCAATATTCAGATCTTATCATTTTCTTCCTTCCATCCCTATTTCTGAATTGAAACAGTGTATTATTTTATTTCTTACTACAGTAAACTCCAAAGTTAAAGATCAATCTTTAAAAAAACAACACTCTCATTCTCTAGCCGAAACCGGTTTGGCTCACTGGATAGAGTATCAGACTGTGGACTGAAAGGTCCCAGGTTCGATTCCGGTCAAGGGCATGTACCTTGGTTGCGGGCACATCCCCAGAAGGGGGTGTGCAAGAGGCAGCTGATTGATATTTCTCTCTCATCGATGTTTCTGGCTCTTTATCCCTCTCTCTTCCTCTCTGTAAAAAAAATCAATAAAATATATTAAAATAAATAAACAAACATACAAACAAACAACATTCTCAACTAAGGTGCTTTTTCAAATCAAAAGATATGGCCCTGGCCTGTATGGCCCAGGCATCATCCCATGCACCAAAAGGATGTTTCAATGGATCAATGGATGTTTCTCTCTCACACTGATGTTTCTCTCTTGCCCTCTCTATTCTTCTCCCTTTAAAATCAAAGAGAAACATTTAAATATATATATATATGGTTTATATAAAACTAACAAACAAAATAGAAACAAACTCAACGATACAGTGAACAGCCGAAGTCGGTCTGCGGACTGAAAGGTCCCAGGTTCAATTCCGGTCAAAGGCATATACACTGGTTGCGGGCACATCCCCGGTAGGGGGTGTGCAAGAGGCAGCTGGTCGATGTTTCTCTTTCATCGGCATTTCTAGCTCTCTATCTCTCTCCCTTCCTCTCTATAAAAAATCAATAAAAATATATTTTAAAAAAAGATACAGTGAACAGACTGACAACTTTAGAGGGGAGAGAAGAAAGAACTGGGTGAAAAAGATTTAAGTAAAAAAGGATTGGAGCCCAAACCAGTTTGGATCAGTGGTAGAGTGTCGGTCTGCGGACTGAAAGGTCCCAGGTTCGATTCCGGTCAAGGGCATGTACTTGTTGCGGGCACATCCCCGGTAGGGTGTGTGCAAGAGGCAGCTGGTCGGTGTTTCTCCCTCATTGACGTTTCTAGCTCTCTATCTCTCTCCCTTCCTCTCTGTAAAAAATCAATAAAAACATATTTTTTTAAAAAAGGATTGAAAAAAAACATACAAAAACAAACAAACAAACAAACCCTCATAGACAGATGGGAGAGATAGGAGAGTATAAAGGGGGGTAAGTGGTGATAGAAAGAGACTTAACATGGGATGGTAAACACACAACACAATATACAGATGAAGTATTATAGAACTGTACCCCTGAAATCTTTAATTTTATTAACCAGTGTCACCCCAATAAATTCAATTAAAAAAATATGGTTTATATGTTTTCTTTATCCCTATCTTACTATTTTTTTCTCCTTTAGTCTAGTTTACCTATAAAACTTTTCATGGGCCTATTTCTCTACATTACTGTCCTCAATATGTACTATATAGATTTCTATGCACTTGTTTACCCAACTAGATTACTTTATCTTCAATTTTTTTAAAATATATTTTATTGATTTTTTACAGAGAGGAAAGGAGAGAGAGAGAGAGAGAGAGAGAGAGAGAGAGAGAGAGCTAGAAACATCGATGAGAGAGAAACATCAACCAGCTGCCTCCTGCACACCCCCACCAGGAATGTGCCCGCAACCAATGTACATGCCCTTGACCGGAATCGAATCTGGGACCCTTCAGTCGGCAGGCCGATGCTCTACCACTGAGCCAAACCGGTTTCGGCTATCTTCAATTTTTAACATACCTTTTAATGTCTACAATATTTGGCTCACAGAAGGTAAATAAGTGTTTATGAAACTAAAACTATAAATTTTCTTTAAATCTGATTAAACATACTATTTTCTACCATATTTTCTTTGCACCCATATAGATTAATTTTTTTTTACATGGATATGGTATCATTTCCTCTTTGTTCAAAATAGGAATAGCTTGTCTAGAAATTAAGAAAGAGTGAATGTAAGGCATATCAAGACAGTAAGATTATGCAGTCATAATTTAGGAATCCAGAACATAAAAATAACTGGAATCTTTAATGAGAGATTAACTGGTTTCCATTATAAGCACAGTTCTTTTTGCTAATTTTCTCCCTTTTGCTTCCTATAACAAATGTCAACGTTTTAATCTGGTTCACTCCTTGGAAAGATCAACTGTACAACTTTCCTGAGAAGAGTACAGAATTACAAGGTAAGAATTTTCTCTATACTTGAAGTAACAATCTGAGCAAGCCTTCATATATTTTGACTGCTTCATTAAAATCCTAGAAACAACAACAAAGTCAAACAAAACTAAGGAAAAGAGGGAAACTTACCACCAAACAAAGGTTCTGGTTCTACCAATATTTCCTGCTTTTGAGGAATTGGGGCACGAACTTCTTCTCTATTAAAAAAAGTGGAAAAATATCAAAATGAAAATGTTTTTTTGCTACCTGTTTCCACTGTAACTATTGTGAATGCATTCAAATTAATAAGTAAAATGAATACCAATCTTAGTGAATTTTAGGAACCACAGTGATAAATGATTGTTAGATGGTTTCCATATTGAGATCAACTGGAATAAAGTACATGGCACAGATATCTCAAATAATTTACAAAGGAAGAGAACAAACAAAAGTAAAAAGTATTTCCCCTTTCCTCTCAAGTTCTCTACCCTAAATTCTTTCCCAAAAAAAGAGAGGGAATTAAAAAATATTGGCTTAATAAAAGCACTATTACTACCACATAAAATAAGTAATTAAATTACACAGATAGAGTAAAATAAGCTTAAACAAACATGCAGTGAATTTGAGTTTTATGCTTGTTATGAAGATGGCCAACATAGGTATTGCCCTGAATTATTTATTAAGTAGACCCTACTATACACTAAACATGAAAAGTAATTACTCCTCTTATAAAAGCCTATTAACTCTTCAAAGTTTATCTCTAGAGGGTTTACTAATAATCTACCTCTTCGAGTAAAAAAATACTTTAAATATACTGTTAAAATGGTGTATGTTCCTTTAAATATCAGTTTATTTTATAGTTTTAATCCAAATACTAAATTCTGCTGATTAATTTTCAAATAGTAAGTTCCAAATTTATTATCTTCCTGTTTACAATAAATGTTAATTTAAGTTAGGCCCTATGTTTTTCATTCAGGTGTGTCTAATAATAATAGCTAAACTGAAGGCCCTGTTTTTTTATATCTGAGAGTTGAAAATCCAAAACAGCCGAAACCGGTTTGGCTCAGTAGATAGATTGTTGGCCTGCAGACTGAGGGGTCCCAGGTTCAATTCCTGTCAAGGGCATGTACCTTGGTTGTGGGCACAACCCCAGTAGGGAGTGTGCAGGAGGCAGCTGATTGATGTTTCTCTCTCATCGATGTTTCTAACTCTCTATTCCTCTCCCTTCCTCTCTGTAAAAAATCAATAAAATAAATTTAAATTAAATTAAATTTAAAAATAAAATAAAAATAAAATCCAAAACATACTTTATGACATAAGGTATGTATGGTCATTTGTCATTTGTCAACAAGAACTAACATCCTTTAAAAAAAAAAAAAAAAAAAAAGAACTAACATCCTGTAATCAAATAACTAGACAAAGAAATATGCAATAAGCCAAATGACTGAAGAATAAAGAATAATTCAAAATTATGTTAATACTTTTTCCTACTAGATATCATTCAATGCTTACACATAGACTTTCATTGATATGAAGGAAGGAATAATGTGTCTCTAAGAGGAAGCTCTATTAATCCTATTCTATCAAAGAAAAATATGTCATTATCTTCAGAAAACTAATAATTTAAAAAACATCTTTTACCTAAATAAATCTTTCCATTATTAGCATACTTCACTTTTACATATATATAATTATTTCAATCAGTAGTAGTTCCTACATAGAAATACTTGATTACAACATATTTGAGGGTATCTGTCCCAAATTGTTAACTACCTAACAAGATGAAAGAATGGAACAGAATAAGGTGAACTGTAAACAGTGAAAATTACAGTTTAGGAATTAGGAGCCACTATCAAATGTTAACCAATTAACAATACAAATATTCTAAATCAAATTATAATGTAATTCAATAGTGCAAAACATTCATTTATCAAAACTATTTTTAAACACAATTAAGGTATTTCCCAAATCTGCTCTGAATAATTGTTACCCAAGTTTCTATAAAATAAATAATGTTTTTCATATTGATTTACACGATAAGTTGAGAGAGAATGGGATATCATACTGAACTATATATATAGCCAACATTGAGAGAGAAAAGATATAAAATATTAATAATGATCTCTAAAGTTCATGCTTCATGTGGAAACGATATTACTCTGGAACCTGGAACTATATCAATAAAAGAGGCAAGAATGCCCTGAATGTTATTTGGCCTCTTAAATTTATGTCTAATTTAAATCCATGTCTTCTGCCTATACCGATTTAAGGAGATTCCTCTATTTTGTATCTCATCTTATAAACACTGAATCATAAAGGACTATGAGTAGCAAAGTCCTACTTAAGGATCTTTTAAATTTTGTGATGGTTTTTTTTTTTTAAATCAAACATTTTTCCATTGAGTAACATTCATTTCTAGTATTTTTCAGACTGTTGTAATTTTGCCCAAAAGGTATTCATTTCAAACTCTCATTGGTATCAAATGTAAAGGGCAAAAAATAACAAATCTACTTCACATTTATGACTATTCTCTATATATCATAGTATGGTTTCATATACTATACGTGCTTCTAATAACATTTAACTATTTAAGGTATAAAAGACTATAATTATTTTTCAAAATTTTTTCATGGCAGCTCAAAACTTTCCTAGGACAATGTAAGAAAATCCAGAATTGGGAAATCTCAACTTTATTGGGTTTTACTTCCATATCTACTACTTAAATGCTGTATGTGTAACTTGGGAAAATAGCTATGCCTGTTTCCTCAGCTGTAAAACATGGGTAATAATGCCATCCTACAGGATTCATTTGAGGATTAAATAATAGATAAGACAAAACAGTGCTTTGAGAATTTAAAGTGTAAAAAATTTCTATTTCACACCTTTTCAGATGCTCTTAACTATAATTTTTTTCAAATACTGAGAATTAACCTGATAAAAATGCAGCTACTCAATATAGACAGGGGGATGCTCCTAACAAGAAATAATAAATTCATACTCTGTGTGTGGTCTAACAGAAGAGACACTTGCTGAACTGGTACTGGGCTCTTCAGCGATTCCACCACCATCCAAAAACATTGTGACTGCCATCTCCAGATTATTGTTGCAGGCTTCAAGCATATGTTTCCCTACACTTTCACTTGCACCTGAAATAGCAGAAAAGTTAAAGGTTAAAAAAAAAAAAAGAGAGAGACACCTTTTTATATTCAGTTCTTAGAATACAGAATTCCCCAAAACAGTGCATTTTCCCTTTAAGAATGAATGACTTAGCCCAGTTGGTGTGGTTCAGTGGTTGAACTCATGAATCAAAAGTTCCCTAGTTCGATTCTTGGTCAGGGCACATGCTCAGTGTAGGCTTGATCCCCAGTAAGGTATGTGCAGGAGGCAGTCAATCGATATCTCTCTTTCATAGATTTTTTATCTCTCTATCTCTCTCTCTTCCTCTCTCTCTAAAAGTCAATGAAAACATATTTAAAAAATACACGAATGTCTTTAAAAAACCCTGTTTAAACTTCACACTGTTGGCACATTCTCCCTCTCAGGAGCATGCCTGTGCCTTTTCCTTCCCTCTCTTCTCTCCCACAGGTGTGCATTTCCCAAACTCTAAGGGTCACCACAAGACTTGCAACCAGGGAAGCAAATGGGCAGCAGCAGTTCAACGTGGGCTAACTCCCTGAACATGTATCCAAGGCCCTTTTCTCTAACTTTCCAGTGAGCCAAAGCAGCCCCACCTAGGCTCTCTCCTCTTGCTCATTCTATCTTAAGCCCTTCCCTGTTTCACTGTCCCCAGCTTTAATAAACATAATCTCAAAATAATAGTAGTAAAATAAAATAAACAAATTTCTACATTGTTGCTATAGTGTGGCATATACAGAGCTAGAAAAGAAAGTAGCCCTACCCGGTTTGGCTCAGTGGTTAGACTGCTGTCCCATGGCTTCGATTCCTGGTCAAGGGCACGTACCTCGGTTGCCGGCCCTGGTTGAAGCACATATTGGAGGCAACCAGTCAATGTGTCTCTCTCACACAGATGTTTCTCTCTAAGTCTCCTCCTTTCTACTCTAAAAAATCAATATAAACAAATATGCTTGTGTGCGGATTAAAAAAAAAGAAAAGTAGCAGCATTAAAAGTTTTCCTTCATAATAAAATAAAAACTAAAGTATTTACCTGACATTTCTTTAAGAAAAACATAAAGAAAAATTAAACACTACATTCTAGAAAATTGGAAAATTAAAAAATACATTTCAGTTAGTTGTGGGGGTTTTTTAGTTGTTTTTTTAATTCTCTCCTGAGGGTAAGTTTTTATTGATGTTAGAGGAAGGGATAGAGAAACATCAATCAGTTGCTTCCCATATGCCACCTTGACCAGAGATCAAACCCACAACCTGGGTTTGTGCCCTAACCAGGAATTGAACGCACAAGCTTTTGGTGTAAGTCGCTCTAGCCAACAGTATTTCACTTCTATTAAAAAGGAAGCATTTTTCATAACAGGGGGAGAGTAGTAAGATAGAACATTTTTGTCGAAGATATAACTAAATCAAAACCTGGTAAGAAAAGTTAATCTTCATCATTTAAAACTGGCCCTATCACACGCAATTGTAAAGCCAGCATAGTCTTCCAAATGCAATATAAATTAGAAAAATCATGTTACAACATGTATCAAGAAACATAAAAATACTCATTCCTTTTTTGACCCAGTAATTTGAGCTTCTAGTAAAAAGATGTATTCTCTATTATTTACTCTACACAATGCATGCATAAACATATCCAGTATAACTTCAGTTAATATGAAAAAAATAGCCGAAACCAGTTTGGCTCAATGGGTAGAGCATCGTCTTGGGGACTGAAGGGACCCAGGTTCGATTCCGGTCAAGGGCATGTACCTTGGTTGCGGGCACATCCCCAGTACGGGGTGTGCAAAAAGCAGCTGATCGATGACTCTCTCTCATCGATGTTTCTAACTCTCTATCCCTCTCCCTTCCTCTCTGTACAAAATCAATAAAATATATAAAAAAATTTAAAAAAGAAAAAAAAAGAAAAAAATTGGAAACAACATAAATATCCAATAGTAGAATCTGATTTATAGAATCTACTTGATAAAACATATTGTAGTCATTAAAAAGCATCAGAGGGCTCGGTCAGTGCGGCTCAGTGGTTGATCATTGACCTATGAACCAGGAGGTCAAGGTTCAATTCCAGATTGGGGCATGTGCCTGGTTGCGGGCTCAATTCCCAGTGTGGAATATGCAGGAGGCAGCCAATCAATGATTCTCTCTCATCATTGAAGTTTCTCTCTCTCTCTCCTCCCTTTCTCTCTAAAATAAAAATATATTTAAAAGAAGAAGAAAAAAAAAGCTTCTCAGGCTCTCCATTGGGATGACTTTCCTTCTACCTGAATGCTGTCCCTTAAATTTCCTTCAGTAAGGTCTACTGGTTGGGGGGGGAAGAAGGTCTGAAAATGTCTTTACTTTGCTGTCATTTCTGAAAGACAGTTTTACTGAATACACGTTCTATTTTCTTAAGGCTGGCAGCTATTTTCTCTCAGTACTGTATATTGAAGAGAGCATTCCAGTGTCCTCTGGCTTCTGTTGTTGCTTCTGGGAAATCAGTTGCTAAAGAAAAACATTTGTATAGCAATCTGTTGTTTCTCTCCAGTTGCTTTTAAGATCTGTCTTTGGTCTTCTGCATTTCACTCCAATTTGTCAGGGTTTATTTCATTTCTCCTCCTTGGGATTCACTGGACTTTCATGACATATAAGAAGTGTTATCTTTTATCAATTTTGAAAATTCTCAGCCACTTTTATTTAATAAACTGCCCAGTGCATGAAATTCATGAACTTGCAGGAAGGCGGGGGGTGGGGGGAACGGGGAGGATCCATCAGCCTGACCTGTGCCCTCTGGCAGTCTGGGAGTTCTCAGGGGATGTCCAATTGATGGCTTAGGCCCTAAGCCAACAATCAAACATCCTTAGCACAGCTACAGAGGAATGAGAGGCTCCTGCCACTGCCACTGCACTCGACAGCCGTTGAGTCCAGCTTCTGGCAGAGTGGAGCTCCCCCTGTGGCCAGCTGCTGTGTTAAGTGTCTGCCCCCTGGTGGTGAGTGTGCATCATAGCAATTGGTCATTCTGCCTCTGGGCTGAAACTGGCTCTCCAATATCCCCCAAGAGATCCCAGATTGCGCAAGGGTGCAGGCCAAGCTAAGGGACCCCACAGGTGCACAATCAGGGCCAGGGAGGGACGAAGGAGGTTGGCCATCTGGGAAGGGATTACAGGAGGGATTATAGGAGGGTTTCAGGGTGTGTCCATCCCGTCTTACTCAGTCCGGATCAGCCAGACCCCAACAGTAAGCTAACCTACCCGTCGGAGCATCTACACCCAGTTCATGTCATAGCAACTGGTTGACTGGTCAACTGTCTGCCCCTTGGTGGTCAGTGCACATCATAACAAGTGATTGAGTGACCTTAGCATATCATTAGCATATTACACCTGACATTTAGCATATTAGGTGTTTATTATATAGAATCATCTTATTTCTTTCTGCAACTCCAATTAAATATATGTTATTTTTATTTCATTTTTTAAAATATATTTATACTGATTTCAGAGAGGAGAGGAAGAGAAAGATCAATGATGAGAGAGAGTCATCGATTGGCTGCCTCCTGCACACCCCCTCCTGGGGATGGAGCCCACAACCTGGCCATGTCCCCTGACCAGGAATCAAACCAGTGATCTCTTGGTTCCTGGGTCGATGCTTGACTCTTGAGCCACACCATGCTGGACTCCACTGATTTTTTAGAGAGAGTGGAAGGGAGGGGGAGAGAGAGAAACATCGATGTAAGAGAGGCATATCAACTGGTTGCCTCCTGCATGAACCCTGACCAGGGCCAGGAGCCTGAAACTGGAATCAAACCTGGGACCCGTCAATCCACAGGCTGACAATCTATCCACTGAGCCAAAACAGCTAGGGCCTCATGCTAGTTACCTTTTAAATTCTTAATCAAGCTAAACCAAAAGTTCTTAGGTTCTAGTATGTACAAATTTACATTCTCATCAGAAAACACACTTTACAGAAATGAAAACCCAAAATTAAATGCAACTTTTTAAGGGTATAAAAATTAATAAAGGAAAACCTCACTAAAGTGGAATTGGGAGGCCAGAGGGGGGAACTCTAACACATATCACTCCATGTCAATTACAAGAAGAATTATCTATTACAGATTCCAAAAAAGAAAATCTTCAACAGCCCTGCTCAGAATGGCTCCATTGGTTTAGCATGGCATATGCCCAGGTTACTGGTTTGCTCTCCAGTGTGTGTGTGTGTGTGTGTGTGTGTGTGTGTGTGTGTGTGTGTAGGTAGCAGATGAATGTTTCTATCTCTCTCCCTCTCTCTCAAATCAATAAAATCTTTTTTTTTTTTTTTTTTTTTTTAAAGAGCCCTAGCCCGTTTGGCTCAGTGGATAGAGCGTCAACCTACAGACCGAAGGTTTCCGGGTTCAATTCAGGTCAAGGGCATGTACCTCAGTTGCAGGCTCCATCCCCAGTGCCAGTCAGGGCACATGGCACTTGTGGGAGGCAACCAATCGTTGTGTCTCTCTCACATTGATATTTCTCTCTCTCCCTCTCTGTCTCTGTCCCTGTCTCTCCCCTTTCCCTTCCACTCTCTGAAAAATCAATGGAAAAATATCCTTGGGTGAGGATTAACAAAAACAAACAACAACAACAAAAAGAAATCTTCAACAAGAAAAGTAGACTACAGGCCCCAACAGAAAAACACGTACATTGCACATTGCATCTCCTATAAGAAATTGATTACTGGGGTGGGGCAATGGGAAAAGATTAACCAAAGAACTATATGCATAACCCATGGACACAGACAATAGTGTGGTAGACCCTGGGAGGGACAAGCAGGGTGGAGGAGGGTCTATGGGGTGTAGGAGAAAGGGGCACATCTGTAATACTTTCAACAATAAAGATAAAATTTTAATAGAAATTGATTACCACAGCAACTCTGCCAACAAAGTCTTCATGTCCTTGAACTTTCATCTTCCTGATTTATTGCTTTTCTTTAATGGACTTTCAAAACAACCCCTCTCAACTTCCTCCTTTTTTCTCCATAAAATAACTTTCCGCTGTTTGTTGCACTTGCC